AATACACTGTTTTCACAAAGAAATGATAACTTTCAAACAATTGTTATCCGCCACAGGGCTGAAGACATTTAAACCCAGATAGCAGAATAAAAATATTGGAGGCTAAAAACCAATGTTCTTCTGGGGGTCTGCAGTGGCACTTCTTTTCCCTCCTGCAGCCCTGTCTATCACCCAAAAACCAGTTCCAGAGGGATTCCCAGACCAGTTTTGAGGGACCAGGGGGACAAGAAGAACAGCACCTTCCCGTTTCTGCTAGATCCCATTGTTCTGCCAGTGGAATGCCAACACTAGCTACCTGCCCTAGGATTTTAAGGGATCAGACCATGAAAAATTATTTTGCTAGGGGCCCTGAAAAATGGTTTTGGGGATCCACTCTGCTTGCAACCCACTCTTTCCCTGCCCGCCCTACAAAGTGCAAGAAGCAGCAATCACCTCTTGCATTCAAAGTCTCAGATATTTAAAAAGCAGCATTACCTCATACCCAAACGTGATGGCCATAATAGTAATCAGGAAACCAAAAAATGCTTCCAGTTTCCTCAAGCCTGAAAAAGACACACAGGCACCATTAGCTGCTTTGGGAACCTAACATTCTGGTGTTAACAATCCATATGAGTCTAGTCCATTTCTCAGTTTTTCACATAACACAACAGACATTGTCCTCGATTGTATGCCTGCCAAGACCAGTCCAGTTGTTCTCTTACAGAATAACTACAATAGCAGCCAAAATAAGCTCCAAGTCCTGACCCAGTGACTGGGAAAGCTGCGTCCCCTGTTCCAACAGGATAGGGCGATGCCCTTCAGAATCTGCAATAGTCCAACTTCCATCATCCCTCCTGAAGGGAGTGGCAGCTTTCCATCAAGCCTGGGATGTTCCTTACCTGTGAATTAGGGGAGGCCACCCACACCCTCATTCTGTCAGGAGGAAAAACAATGATTCATTGCTGTCTGTCTCCCCACCTCCCAAAGAAACACACAGTTCAGCACTGGAAAGAGGGGAAGCACACAGACTTCAGGAACTTTTCTCAAGCACGATGCTTCAGAAAATTGGTTTACTACTGGTGAATGGCGGAGCCATGCTGATATTTCACTTGTAACACACATCAATTTCAAAAGGTATTCCTTCTCTACTGTAACTGGAGGGATAAACTCTGGTTTTAGCATAGAAAAAAAATTGAAGTCTTACAAAATCCAAGTAGTTGAGAAGAGCTGTCAAATTAAATTACAGGCAACTAGTGTGTGTGTGTGTGTGTGTTGTGTGTAAAGCTAGTGTGGTATAATGGTTTGAGTACTAGACTACAACTCTGAAGATCAGGGTTCAATTCCTCACTTGGCCATGGAAATCCACTGGGTGACCTTGGGCGAGTCACACACTCTCAGCCCCAGAAAATTCTGTGATGGGGTTACCTTAGCACTGTCATAAGTTGGAAATGACTTGAAGGAACAAAACAACAACAAAGTGTGTGGGGGGGGATAGAACAAGGAGGAAGAGCTGTGTTACTTACCACTAATGAAGTGGGAGAAAGAACAGCAGCATATTCACAGCTGCAAATGGAGGGGGGGAATGCTGTGTGTGTTGAAGGGACCCTTTCAAACAGAAGCATAATACCAAGTAATTGATGCACACTTACTACACAAAAGGCAACAGAGAAATCAGCTTATGGTCATTTACTCAGGATATAATCAAGAGGGCTTATTTCCGTCATCAAGAGTCCTCATATCATATGGGATATCAAGCCCATCATTCAATAATGTAGTCTTCCCCAAACTGGTGCCCCCTAGAAGCTGGAGTCCAGTACCTACCATCCCCAGGCAGTAGTTCAACTGGGTGGGTCATGGGATTTGCAGTCCGACACGTTTAGTTGGAAAAGGCTGCCACAGTCCCATGCACAAAAGCTGGTTCTCTATGACAGAGGGTGAGGAACCTCTGACCCTCCAGATGTTGATAAACTACCACTCCCTTCATTCATCACCCGCACAGGCTGTAATTTTCCCTTACAAATTAGGACTGATTGGAAGTTGGAATTTAACAACAGCCAGAGGGCCACAGTTTTTATTTTACTGATTGTCTGAAACATTTCTATCCCACTCTCCATATAAAAAAAAAAACTCAGGGTAGCATACAAGTAAAATAAGTATAAACAAGTTAAAACCATTTTAAAATGGTAAAAATAATGTAAATAGACTAAAAATATATTAACTAAGGGGGGTTGCAGACTACCAGAAATAGTGCAAATTGAGTCCACTTTTAGGGTTAGGGTTAGTGCTAGGGAATCATGGGAATTGTTTTTTTCCTGAGACATTGAGTCTTCTCAATCAGAGAGCTCTGGTGCCACAATAAAATACAGTTTCCATGATTCCCTAACCCTAACCCTAAAAGTGGACTCAATTTGCACTATTTCTGGCAGTCTGCAATCCCCCTAAGATGAACAAGTTGTTACGATAAGTGGTTTTGATTGGGTTTTGATATCACGATCCCTTTGGATCTCTATCAGAAGCCCTAGGCTGGAAAGGGCCTCCATCGCCATGGGCTCGAGGCGAGCACATCACGTAGGCACTAAGGTGAATCTGCATTTACAAGCCATTTGCAGATCAAAAGGCCAGGCTTAGGAGCTGCAATGCAGGACATTCACACCTAAAAAGATTTTTGAGCCAGTCAGGATGTATCCTTAAGGTGAGGAAAAATAAAAAACCTA